TAGCAATTCTCCCACCTCCGCCTCCCAGGTAACTGCGACTATAGGTGTAGATCACCACGCCCGGCTAATGTTTTGTATTTTCAGTAGAGATCGGTTTTCACCATGTGTGCCAGGCTGGTCTTGAATTTGTGATTTCAAGTCATCTGCCCTCCCTGGCCTCCCAAAATTCTGGGATTACAGATGTGAGCTACCACACCTGGCTGAACTTTTCTTTTCTCATAATATCTTTGTCTGGCATTGAGATCAGGGTAATTCTGGCCTTACAGAATGAGCTAATAAGTGTGTGCCCCTCTTCTATTTTATGAAATAATTTGTTTTGCATTAGCATTATCTCATCCTTAAATATTCGGTAGAATTATCAATGAAAACATCTGGGCCTGGAGTTTTCTTTATGGGAAGGTTTTTAACAACAAATTCAATTTTTTTTTTTTTTTTGAAATGGAGTCTCTCTCTGTCGCCAGGCTGGAGTGCAGTGGCGCAATCTCAGCTCACTGCAACCTCCACCTCCTGGATTCAAGTTATTCTCCTGCCTCAGCCTCCTGAGTAGCTGGGACTACAGGCACCTGCCACCATGCCTGGCTAATTTTTGTAGTTTTAGTAGAGACAGGGTTTCACCATGTTGGCCAGGATGGTCTTGATCTCTTGACCTCATGATCCTCCTGCCTCAGCCTCCCAAAGTGCTGGGATTACAGGCATGAGCCACTGCACCCGGCCTAAATTCAATTTCTTTAATAGGTATAAGGCTATGCTGGATATTTTATCTTGAGCACAGCTTTAGTAGTTTGTGTCTTTCAAGAAATTTATTTCATCTAAATTGTCAGATTTATTGGCATAAAGTTCTTCATAATATTTTCTTATGATCCTTTTAATGTCTGTAGCATCTGTAGTGATGTCTCCTTTTTCATTCTTGGTATTGATTACTTGTGTTCTCTCTTTTTCTGATTGATCTGGTTAGAAATTTATTAATTTTATTGATCTTCTCACAGAACCTTTCTTGATTTTCGCTACTGTTTTTCTGTTTTTAAGTTTATTGATTTCATCTCTTGTCTTTATTATTTCCTTTATTCTGCTTACCTTGGGTTTAATATGCTCTCCTCTTTCTAGGTTATTAAAGTGAAAGCTTAAGTTATTGATTTTAAATCTTTTAATTTTTCTAATATAAATGTTTATATTAGCACTAAGCACTTCTTTTATTGTTTCCTACAAATTTCAATTTGTTATATTTTCATTTCATTTGGTTCAAACTATTTTCTAATATTCCTTTTAATCTCTTCTCTAACCTATGGGTTATTTAGAATAGCTCTGTTTAGTTTCCACATATGTGTATATTTTTTCAGATATCATTCTGTTTTAATCAAGAGGTTAAGAATCTCTTGATTCTTAATTAAATTCTGCTATGGTTGGAAAACATACCTGGTGCAATGGCATGATCTCGGCTCACTGCAACCTTCGTCTCCCGGGTTCAAGCGATTTTCCCACCTCTGCCTCCCACGTAACTGGGACTACAGGTCCCATGCCTGGTGTGGTCATGTAGTCCCAGCTACTTGAGAGGCTTAGGTGGGAGGATTGCTTGAGCTCAAGAGTTTGAGATCAGCCCTGGGCAACATAGCAAAATCTCATCTCTAGGGAAAAAAAGGAACACACTTGTTTTATTTCTTTTATGCCCCAGATCTGATCTATCTTGGTAAATGTTCCATGTGCATGAGAAAAGACTGTATTCTGCTGTTACTGGATTGAATGTCCCATAAATGTCAATTAGGTCAAGTTGGTTGGCAGTGTTATTGAAGTCTTCTATATATGTACAAATTTTTACATGTTCTATCAACTATTGAGAGAGGGGAAAATTGTGATGTTGTTTACATTTCCTTATAGTTTAATCAGTTTTTGCCTCATGTATTTTGAAGCTCTGTTTTTAGGTACATAAACATTTTTGATTGTTGTGCCTCTTGATGAATTGACACTCATCATTATAAAATGGTCTTCTTTATCCTTGGTAAGGCTCCCTACTTTGATTGATATTAATACAGCCACTACAGGTCTTTTTTAAATGAATATTTACATAATATATCTGTTTTTATCCTTTGGTTTTAACCTATCTGTGTTTTTATATTGAAATTGGGTTTCTTATAGACAGCATGTAGCTGAGACCTTCTTTTTTTATCCATTTGACAATCTTTGTCTTTTAATTGTTTAGACCATTATATTTAATGTGATTATCTTTATGGTTTGGTTTTTAATCTATCATCTTGCCATTTGTTTTCTATTTGTCTCATCTGTTCTTTGTTCTTTGATTTGTCCATGTTGCCCAGGCTGGTCTTGACCTCCTGGCCTCAAGTGATCTGCCTGCTTCGGCCTTTGGGAGGGATTACAGGCATGAGCCTGCAACAGAAAACTAGTTTAAAAGGAACCCTGCTGGTTCCCCTTGTCATGAGCCAGGCCTCCCTCTGATCAGCACTCATCCAGCAGTGGTCTATGGGGCTGGCAGAACAGTATAATTACTTAAGGCTGACCTTTTATCAGATTTTGCTTTTGGCTCTGACCACACAAAACATGACAACAGAACTGGCTATTTGTGGGGATCCAGTGAAAAATGAAAATCTGTGGGCCTTTGTTCAAATATTATGAAGACTTTCACGATGACGGCAGCAGAGCACTAAGCCAGGTGAGGGGACATTCAGAGTGCCAGGCTGTGTGTGACAGGGTGTGTGAATACCACTAACGATGTATGTCAGCACTAGGGATTCCTTTCCTTCGCTTTTTTTTCAGCAGATATAAAATATTTAAATCATTTTGGGCCAGGTGCAGTGGCTCACGCCTGTAATCCCAGCACTTTGGGAGGCCGAGGCAGGTGCATCGCTTGAAACTGGGAGTTCGAGATCAGCATGGCCAACATGGTGAAACCCTGTCTCTACTAAAAATAATTTTTTTTGTAATCCCAGCTACTTGGGAGAATGAAGCAGGCTTGAAGTATCGCTTGAACCTGGGATGTGGAGGTTGCAATGAGCCGAGATCATGCCACTGCACTCCAGCCTGGGCGACAGAACGAGACTGTCTCAAAAAAAAAAAAAAAAAGTCATTTTGTCTTCTTTTGTAAAGTGTAAGAATTGACGACTGCTGGAGATGAACCTGTATTTTGGTATACTTGAATCATGATTTATGGTTATTCTCAAGCACACCGGCTGGCTGCATACCCCTGCTCCACAGTTTACTCGCAGTATAACCCTAGGCAGGTTAAATCACTTCTCTTTAGCGCAGTTTCCTCATGTATAAAAATGGGGATAATAATAGTGCCTAACACAATAGACTGTCATAGGATTAAATGAGATCATGTACATAAGGTGCTAAATATAGTGGCCAGGGCTTGAGCTAGCACCTTTGTTCAAATTAGAAAAAGAGTCCCTTTGCACAGATGAATTTAAAAGGCACCACCTCTGGCCAATGAATCAGAGGAAGTTCCCCTTTCAGGTCCATGCTTTGGAGCCCAGCGTTTGGCAAGCAGAACTCTGCTGGATTTCAGCCCCACTTACTGTCTTGGAAGGCACCTTGTGCAGGGCACAGGCACTTAACCATGTGGGTGGCCCTGGTCACAGCTGGCGTGTAGTGAATGCTCCATCAAACCTTCACTCATGTGAGGCTGCATGGTGTAGTGGTGAGATCCACGGCCTCTGGAGTTGACCTAAATGTAGAATTGTTGAGTTATGAAGTTCGTCCTCCTCACTTCCTGCCCTCCTTCTGTGGACCATCTGTTCTGCCTCACATGCCTGCTGTCCACTCATTTTGTCTGAAGACACTGCACACAACCAGGCAGTGCAGGAAGCCAAGGCTGGTCAAATTCTGACTAGGCCGACAGTTTCCTCAAGAGCAAGACCTTTGAGAGAGTCTGGCAGGACCATTCAGCACTGGCCTTGCATTCCGGCTGCTGAATCAGTGGAACATATATACAATGAGCGAGAAGGTAGCCTCATATTCAGTGTGCTCCCTAACTGAAATTTCATACCTGCAGCCTGTGGTAAGGGCTTGAAATTGTTTTATTGATAGTCATATAACTTCTTTCAGAACAGAGGCCTTGTGTCAAACTTCTCTTAATCCCTGCAGTGCTACATACATAATATGCATGTAATAAGTGTGCACTCAATATACCATCATCGGCATTGCATTTGCAAAATGCTTTCATAGAAATGGCTTCATTCTGTTTTCACTACAACCTTATGAAATAGGCAGAACAGCCTTTTTCAGGCCAGTTTTATAGATGAGGGAGGTGAGGGCGCATAGCCTGCCGTGATCACATGATTTGACATACGATTTGACGAGGGGTTGAAGCTGACCAGGAGTCCAGGCCTTTGCCCAGATTTCTTATTCACTCATGATGCCAGAGTCCCAAAGACCAGTCGGCAGTCCAGTGCAAGGCTTGCACTTTAAGAAATTTCCCGTCATGGCACATGCCTATAATTCTAGCTACTTGGGAGGCTGAGGCACAAGAAATGCTTAAATCGGGATATGGAGGTTGCAGTGAGCCAAGATTATGCCACTGCACCCCAGCCTGGGTGACACAGCGAGACCCTGTCTCAAAAAAAAATTTTTTTTGCAATAGTCCTCAAAGAAATTACGAATGTAATGACAGTGCAGTTTACTTTTCGTAAAACTAAAGTTATTTGATTTAAAGAGCTATCCTTTGTTTTCAGACTATGCCCTTCCTACTTTGATGTAAAAATGTTTGCTCATTTACAGTGTTGACAGTTGTTATTTCTTGACATACCAAAAGTTGCCAAACCTTTCTCTGTCCCTCTAAACTTTTGGATATTTACTGGTATGTAAAATCTAAAGTAGGAAGTCCTACATTACATTATATCATACCATATCTTTTAAGTAAATAAACAAATGAAGGATTTCAAACAACCAAAAATTCTTATTCTACCAACTTACCTAGGAGAAGTATCCAAACTAGAGAGATTAGATTGGTAAAAATTGGTTTTGGGGTGTCTTTGGTCTCACATTGTGCCAATGCATCATCTTGGGTTTGGGGTTGGGGAAGGGGTTTAAAAAGAGAGATCATTCTCCAAAATAACTGGGTTGAGGTTCTTTGAGTAACAATGCTTGACACGATGCCTGTGTGTGTGTGTGTGCGCGATTTTGTTTCGACAGCCTGATCAAATACTCTGCGCACTTAAGGGAAATTGACCTTGGAAACAATGTTCTGGGAGAAATGGCTGCTGCTGAAATACTTGAAGCGCTGAGAGCCAGAAAGACAGGTAGAGTGTTTTCAGGTTACGTGTTTCCCCTGCACCTGCCCACAGCCACTCACTCCTAAATGCTGTACTACTCACAACTTGCTCCACTTTTTTCATTTAAGTAACTGGCCTGAACTATGCAATGACCAGGAACACTATCACAGGCCAGCCATCATTGTGTCAATTTTCCCGGTGATTTGCACAGAGTTCAAGAATTTCTAGGATGTCATGTGTAGCCTTCGATCTAAGTAACACATGTTTTTAAAGGGAAATTTTCTCTATTGCTTTTTTTCTCTCTTGCTCCTCTCATCCTTGCCTGTTCTCCAAGAAATGCTTCTCCCACTCTCCATTCCCTTCTCAGCCCAACCTGCAGAGAGGTCTCCAGATATCAATTAGAAAATTCAAGTAACACCCCCCATAAGATTTTGATGTGCTTTCTGGATCATCAAAGAATGATTAAATTGTGATCGGCATAGGGAAAGCAGTAAGTCTTTTATGATGCTGCAATCCTTTGAAAAGGAGAGAATCACTTGTGGAAGGAGTTGGTTCCTATGGCCACTCCTGCCCTCCCCATCGCCAGCATGCATGACCGGAATTAATGATGGCTGCTCGCCCTGCTAATGCAGAGGAGGGGAAGAAATGTCATTTTAAATGAAGCTCGAAGGAAGACTTCATAAACACATTTGAAAACGTAAATTCAACCTTAAGAAAAGTAGAAAGAACTCTTGGTGTGTTACTGGGCAGGTTAAGCTGAGAGAATTAAGCAGTCCAAGCATCGGTCTCTACCATTTCCTCAGCATGGTCTTAGAGACATAGTATAATCATAGATTGCATTTTCTTTTCATGCTCTAGAGTTTTAGATAGAAGAATTATAATGATATTACTATATATTGTTTAACATTTTTAAAACTAAAACTCCAATCAAGTGATTCCATGATGTTTAAATTATCTCTTTGTTTTAGAGAAACAGAATATCCACTTTCTATTCCTTTAGAGTTGAATTCAATTTCAGCAGAATTACTCTGTTAAATTTAGTTCAAATATAGCTTTAAGCTTGATAAACTGAAGGCAGGTGAATGATTTCATTTTGTTTTTCCTGGCACCATAGTAACTTTTTCATTATACATTGAGGGAGAAGATGTTACAAGTCTGCAGGCAGTCTCGTGACCATGACTCTAGTGAATGCTAATGACAATCAGTCTCAGATGACTTGATGGAAAATGATTATCTCTGAGTACATATTTGGAGCTGGAAAACATCATGCTTTGCTTAGTAAATGTTTTAATTTGCATAAATGAGAAGATAATTATGAAATACCCACCTGAAAATACAAATACTCATTTAGAAGGCATTAAAAAGTAATTTGTAGTTCAAGAAATCATGTTTTTCAAATATAGTAATATATATAATGAGTAGCCTTAATGCATCTATCTCTTGAGCTGAAATAATTATGGTGTTTCTGATGGAACACTTCAATTGGATTGTTTGTTTGAACACCAAGAAGATTCCTCAAAACAGGGTTAACTGCTTGGATTTTATAGGGAAAATCTCTTCCCATTTTGCCCTAATGGCATCATTTTAAACATTAAAAGCAATAGTAGTATTACTGATTATGGAACGAAAGCTCTTCAATTGATTGTTTCTTAACATTTGCAAGTTAACAAGCTAATTTCTAATTCTAATTCTAATTCATTCATGAAATCCAAATTAACAGCCTGAGGTCACTTACTTGGTTATCAAGGAGATCTTAATAACCTGCCTTTAATGATGGACTAGGCCAATGAAATCTTCCTTAGAGAAATTAGCAACCTCATTTCATTAAAAAAAAAAAAAAAAAAAAAGCTAGTGAAACAGGAAGCTGTTATCCTGTCTTACTGCTTTTTCACTAATAAGAAAACAGAGTACTGAAGGAACATCTCATTTATTCATTCTTCTTTCTTTATATATTTGTTAAATGCCTATCATGTACCAGGCCCTGTTCTAGACCCTGGGGAGGGGAGTCATGAATTCCTGCCTTCATGAGGCATATATATGATTGTATATCTGATGGGGATCATACTTAGAGGAAAAATAAAGCAAATGGGGGGTAAAGTGTGTGTCAGGGTGTGGGGGTTGCCATCTTAGTGAGGATAGCCAGGGAAGGCGTTGCTGAGAAGGGACACTTGAGTAAAGATCTAAAGGAGTGACAGAGCAGGCCACGTGAATATCTGAGAGATGAGCATTCTGGCTAGAAGGAACAGCAAGTGCCAAGGCCTTAAAGTAGAAGCCTCCTGTAAAGCCACCAGCATGGCTGAATGGAGTGAGCTAGAATGGGAGAGTCAGAGGACAAACAATTTGAGATGCAAGTATGCAGAGCAGAAAGCATTCTAGACCCTTGTGAGGACTTTCAGGTGTAACTGTTGACATGGAAAGCCTTTTGAGAATGATAAACCTAGAAGTAACCTGATGTAACCCACATTTTAACAGGATTGCTCCAGCTGTATGTTAAAAAGAGACTATAGGGGAGGCAAGGGCAGAACAAGGATTCTAGTTAGGGAGTTTTCTCTGGAAAAACTACACAGGGCCTTTCAGCAGACCCAGAGCACCCAGCAAGGTGGAAAATGTGGGTTGGGGAGAGGCTACAAATACGAGAATTAAGGAAAATTTTATCCAGCAGTTGAAATTCAGTCCTTACTACCACCCCAGGCTTGTCTGCCCTGCTTCCAGAAGGCTGACAGCCATGTAGAAGATTGGGGTATTTCTTGAGAAATTGAATAGCCCTAGAAAAAGAAATTCTACATGCTGACAGCTGGCCATCTCCTCACCATTCAAAGAAGCCTAGCAGGTCAGCAAGCCCTGAACATACATGAGAGCTGCCCATCAGCCTTTGTATGTCTTATGCTTCATTGTGAACAGATACCTGAGAACCTCCAGACACTTGAGGCAAGTAGCCAATACGAGAGACCAACCCTGAAACAGAGGGAATAAAGGAACCCTGAAGATACAGAAACAATGCAGAAAACTAAAGAAAAACAAAAAAGCTATAACATTGTAACATTCTGAATGGAAGAAAAGATAAGACATCCATAAAAAAGGAATGGGGTACTATGAAAAAAGAACTATTAGAAAAGAAGAAAAAGTTTTTGGAAAGTAAAAGTGATAGCCAAAATAAAATATTCTGGAAAAAAAAAAAAAAAGGTTGACAGGTAAAATCAAGAAAGTCAGGCCTCTGCTCCTCCAGTTCGACAGACAACTGCATTTTCTCACGCAGCACCAGCTGCGTCCCTCAGACACCAGGGTGAAGGTGAAGGCCAGAATAAACAGATGTGTCCATAGTAGGCCCTGGTCACCAGGACTGCTTTTAACTCTGGCAAAGTGGATGTTGTCACCATCAATGACCCCTTCATTGACCACAACTACATGGCGTACATGTTCCAGTATGAGCATGTTCCAGTATGAACAACGCCAAATTCCACATGACCTCCAAGAAGTAAGAGCCCTGGACCACCAGTCAGAGCAGAGAGGACGAGGAAGGCCCTCAGCTGCTGGGGAGTACCTGCTGCACTCAGTCCCCCACCACACTGAGACTGCCCCCTCCTCAGTTTCCAAACAATTTGAGATGCAAGTATGCAGAGCAGAAGGCCTTCCAGACCCTTGTGAGGACTTTAGGGTGTAACTCTGTTGAGATGGAAAGGCTTTTGAGAATGGTAAACCTAGGAGTTACCTGATGTAACCCATATTTTAACAGGATTGCTTTAACACAGACCCCTGAAGAGGGAAGGGCTGAGGAGCCCTGCTTTGTTGTGTACCATCAACAAAGTTCCCTGTACTCAGCTCACCCCCACCCAAAAAAAGAAAGTCTTCAGAAGTAAAACAAAAGATAAGATGAAAAATTGGTGAGAAAATATAAGAGACAGAGGATCAACTTACGAACGTCAGTGTCTAACTCAAAGAGTTTTCAGAAAGAGAAAACAGAGAAAAGTGAAGACAGGGAATTATCAAAGGAATAAATAAAGAACTTTCCCAGAACCAAGGAACATAAATCTGCACGTTGAAAGAGCCCAATGGGTGTCCAGCACAGGGAAATATAAAAAGTATATCATGATGACATTCAGAACACTAGGAATAAAAAGGGGATCCTAACAACTGACTGAAAGAAAACAATTTGCATCCAAAGGACTGGGAATTAGAATGACATCAGACTTCCTAACTAGAAGTTAGGGGCAACAAAGTGCTACTATGACAATTCTATGAGAAGTCTATACGTTCCCAACTTCTAACCACATATGAGGCCAAAATAATGATGTTTTCAACATGCAAGCATTCCAAACATGCACCTCCTCTGAGTCCATTCTTAGGAAACTTCCAAAGAACATGCTTGAGCAAAATGAGAAAATAAAACACAAAGACAGGCCAGGCGCGGTGGCTCATGCCTGTAATCCCCGCACTTTGGGAGGCTGAGGCGGGTGGATCACTTGAGGTCAGGAGTTCGAGACCAGCCTGGCTAACTTGGCGAAACCCCCTCTCTACTAAAAATACAAAATTAGCCAGGCATGGCGGTAAACACCCATAAGCCCAGCTACTCGGGAGGCTGAGGCAGGAGAATCACTTGAACCCAGGAGGCAGAGGTTGCAGTGAGCCGAGATCGCACCACTGCACTCCAGCCTGGGCGACAGAGTGAGACTCTGTCTCAAGTAAATAAATAAATAAAAATAAAATAAAATAAAGTAAACCACAAAGATAAAGAACACCAAGTTCAGAAATCAGAAGGCCCAATACAGGACAGTAAAAAAGGGAGTCCCAGATGATGGTTGAGGTAAATCCAAATTGGAGCAGAAAAGTAGAAGACTTCGGAAAGGAGAAAGACTTGGGTAAAAACTGAACTTATACAGCATGTGAAATACTTAAGTATTTTATCAACTGAGGTCAGGAGTTCAAGACCAGCCTGGCCAACATGAGGAAACCCCCATCTCTACTAAAAATACAAACAAATAAATAAAAAAGAAATACTTAAGTATTTTGAAAGAAATATTGATAAGTATATGAGAAATGACAGAAACCTCTGGGAAAATATTTAGAATAGGTACACAGAAAACTCTGCAAATAAAAAAACAGGCGATTATTAACTTAGACAGAAGACAGATATACAATGAAATATGTACAAAAAAATACCAATGAATACACCAAGTGTTGATTTAACTAAAAATTGTGATATATCTTTATTGGGAGGCTTGGCAAGAGGAAGTTACAAAAGTCAATATTTACATATTTTAAACGGAAATATCAAGAAATAATATAATAAACACTTTGCTTAAAATCAGGCAGAAAAACTGCTGAATAAGTTGAAAGTGGCTGCCTCTGCAGAAGAGGACTTGGGGCCAGGTGCAGTGGCCCACACCTGTAATCCCAGTACTTTGGGAGGCCAAGGTGGGAGGATAACTTGAGCCCAGGAGTTCGAGACCAGCCTGGGCAACCTAGGGAGACCCCATCTATCTCTATAAAAGAAGAAGAAGAGGAACAAAAGAGGAAGAGTAAGAAGGAGGAAGAAGAAGAAGAAGAAGAAAAAGAAGAAGAAGAAGAAGAAGAAGAAGAAGAAGAAGAAGAAGAAGAAGAAGAAGAAGAAGAAAGAGGAGGAGGAAGGAAGAGGAGGAAGGAGGAGGAGGAAGGAAGAGGAGGAGGGAGGAGGAGGGAGGAGGGGGAGGAAGAGGAAGAAGAAGAAAAGAAAAAGAAGGAAGGAAGAAAGGAAAGAAAGAGAAAAGAAAGAAAGAAGGAAAGAAAGAAAGAAAGAGAAAGAAAGGAGGGAGGGAAGGAAGGAAGGAAGGAAGGAAGGAAGGAAGGAAGGAAGGAAGGAAAGAAGGAAGGAAGGAAGGACCGGCCAGGTGCAGCGGCTCACGCCTGTAATCCCAGCACTTTGGGAGACTGAGGCGGGCGGATCACGAGGTGAGGAGATCGAGACCATCCTGGCTAACACGGTGAAACCCTGTCTCCACTAAAAATCCAAAAAAAAAAAATAGTCGGGTGTGGCTGTGGGCGCCTGTAGTCCCAGCTACTTGAGGCAGGAGAATGGCGTGAACCTGGGAGGCCAAGCGTGCAGTAAGCCAAGATCACACCACTGTGCTCCAGCCTGGGCGGTAGAGCAAGACTCCGTCTCAAAAAAAAAAAACAGAAAAAAAGAAGGAAGGAAGGAAGAAGAAGGAAGGAAGGAAGGAAGGAAGGAAGGAAGGAAGGAAGGAAGGAAGGAAGGAAGGAAGGAAGGAAAAGAGAAGGAAGGAAAGAAGAAGAAAGAAGAAGGAGGAGGAGGAGGAAGGAGGGGGAGGAAGAGGAAGAAGAAAAAAAGAAAAGAAAGAAGGAAGGAAGGAAGGAAAGAAAGAAAGGAAAGGAAGCAGAAAGAAAGGAAGAGAAAGAAAGAAAATTGGTCTGTAGCCAAGGGAAGGAAAGGGAAGGGAAGGGAGGGGAAGGGAGGGGAAGGGAGGGGAAGGGAAGGAAGCAGAAAGAAAGGAAGAGAAAGAAAGAAAATTGGTCCGTTGCCCAGGCTGTAGTGCATTGGCATGATCTTCGCTCACTGTATCCTTGAACTTCTGGGCTCAAGTGATCCTCCTACCTCAGCCTCCCAAGTACTTAGGACTACAGGCATGTGCCACCATGCCTGGCTAATGTTAAATTTTTTGTAGAGATTAGGTCTTTTGTAGAGATTAGATCTTTCCAAGGCTGGTCTTGAACTCCTGAAACCCAAAGTGCTAGGGTTTCAGACATGAGCCACGAGCCACTGCACCCAGCCAAAAATATTTTTAAAGAGAGAATTGAAAAGTGCCTAGCTTTCTCACCATGTAATTTGTTGTATAACTCCAGGCCAATACCTAATGCTAGCTTAAATTATCTTAGTCTCCACAAAATAACAGGAAGTCTCATACACTTGGGATATGCTTCATTGAAGAATGAGCAGAATTTTTTTTTTTTTTTTTGAGATGGAGTCTCGCTCAGTCGCCCGGGCACGATCTTGGCTCACTGCAAGCTCCACCTCCCGGGTTCACGCCATTCTCCTGCCTCAGCCTCCTGAAGAGCGGGCCTACAGGCGCCCGCTGCCACGCCCGGTTATTTTTTTGCATTTTTAGTAGAGACGGGGTTTCACCGTGTTAGCCAGGATGGTCTCGATCTCCTGACCTTGTGATCCGCCCATCTTGGCCTCCCAAAGTGCTGGGATTACAGGTGTGAGCCACTGCGCCTGGCCAATGAGCAGAATTTTATAAGTGGAAAATAAGTAGAAAAGATGACCAAAAGTGTGGCATCCAGGAAACGTAACAGACTTTTGTGAGCTTAGGTGGCACATGAATCCTGTGAGGCCTCAGCTGGCCTCCATTCCACACTGCTGGCCCCATTTCAAATGGTCTGTAGCATATGAAACAACTCACAGCCTGCATCATGCACCCCACACTGCCTCCTTGCCTCAGTGGTGAAGACTTTGACCTTTGTTTGCCTACTGAAGGCTTTGCCTTCCCCTGCTTTGGACCTGTCCTCTTTGTATTTCTAATTCAGCTTTGTTTTTCTCCTTGACCATGATTTATACCTGTTTCCGATTAAATACTGTGTCACGTAGAGATAGTGTTTGGCTACAGGTAACAGAACCAGCTACAGTGCCCTACACAGGTGGAAGAGGACTGGGCAGGTACAGCTACTGCCCACATCATCAATGTCCCAGATTCCTTCTCTCCTTCTCCACCATTGCCTCAGCAAATGCCCCTTATCCTCATGGCTGCAAGGTGGCTGCCACACCTGTAACCTCTCATCTCCATTCCAGGCCAGAAGAAAAAGAAGGAAAGGACAAGGAAGAAGTGCTAGCATCTGATTTCTGGCCCTTTCCAAGTTGTGGCATTCTTTTTTTTTTTTTTTTTTTTTTTTTTTTGAGACAGAGTTTCGCTCTCGTTGCCCAGGCTGGAGTGCAATGGCATGATCTTGGCTCACTGCAACCTCCGCCTCCCGAGTTCAAGCATTTCTCCAGCCTCCCAAGTAGCTGGGATCACTGGCATGAGCCACCATGCCTGGCTAATTTTGTATTTCTAGTAGAGACAGAGTTTCTCCACGTTGGTCAAGCTGGTCTCAAACTCCCAACCTCAGGTGATCTGCCCTCCTCGGCCTCCCAAAGTGCTGGGATTACAGGCGTGAACACCGCACCTGGCCTCAAGTTGTGACATTCTAAACCACATTGTCTTACACCTCCAGGTCCCTTTCCACATTCATCCACCTTGCCCTCCACTGCTCTTTCCTGTGCCCAGCCTGATTTGAGCTCATACTTGTACAACCATTTTCATACTTCAACCTCAATTTACCCTCTGGAGCTGAAATTCAGTACTATTTTTGAAAGTTCTTGTTTTTCCTCTCAACTATATTTCTTGTTTTCCTTTCTGCTTTTGGCCTCTCCCTGGAGAAGCCTGGCCTCCGGAAACTGTAGTGTTAGGCACCTCTGGCCTTGTAAGCAGGACCTGGCCATGTGGCTAAATGAGAAGCAGGAAGGAGGAGAAGGCAGAGTGCCATGGGAAAGAATATGGAGGAGGAGTTGACATAGGCTCTCTGAATAACAATTAGGGATTTGGGTCTTTATTTTATAGGAAAATCAGTGAGAACTCTGGGTTTCAAATGATAGAAAACCAATTCAAACTGACTTAAGTACAAAAGTAAATCTGTTGACTCCTGTAAGTCCAGGGTGGTTCTAGCTAAAAGTCCAGCTGGAATCAAGGGTTCCCATAATGCCACCCACCTCCGTCTCCTGGGAGTTCTGCTGCTGTGTTGACTTTACTCTCAGGCAGGCTTTTTCCCACATGGGGGCAAGTTGAGCAGCATTAGCCAAAGGGTTACATTCTGCCCGGTTAATAATCTCAAGAAGGAGTTCTTCTTTGGATTTTCACTGGACAACCGTGAGTCACATGCACACCTGTTAAGCAATCACTGTGCCAGGGAGATGAAATACACTAGACATCCCTGGGCTGTGTGCATACCCTGGAGGGCAGGGGAGTGGAACCCTAAAACAAACTCAAGATGCTGTTCCAGAAAGAAGCTAAAATGGAAGCTGGGTAGGCAGAAACAAGAGATGTCTACTAAAGAAAGAGGGCCAAGAATGGTATTAGAGCTGGTAATGATAAGATCAGAATGTTGATTTCAGATGATTAATCTGGAAGCAGGGTCCAGGATGGGCTTGGAGTTGGGGAAGTTTGGGATTAGGAAAACCAGTTAAGAGGCTGCTCTATCATCCAGGTAAAAGACATGACAGTGAGGATGGGAAAGACAGGACAAGTGTAAAAAGTTACTTCAGAGGTAAATTAATTGTCAGGACCACTCACGCCAAGAAGATATAAGGAAGAGGTATGAGGTCAGAGGAAAGTCGTTTGGCTAATAAGAATGTGGGAGAGCACCTCTCTCAGAAGCCTAAGACCCACTCCCTCTAAGGTAGTTGTGAGATATCCTACCTGTTTATGATTATGTTCTTTCCCCATGCAGGTAAACTACCGGTCTTAAAAATTACAGTCACTCCCCAGATCTCTTCAGATACCTTCAGATCAATTTGGAAAAATAGCAAGAAGTCTAATACTATCCGTAAAAAGAAGAAAAAGGTAAGTTCTTGGACGTCTGTGTCAGTGAGGAGCAGCCACCGGGGGTGCTGTGTGGAGCCTGGGCCCTTGGGGCAGATGGCACCATCAGCTGCAGGTTTTGCATTTGATGATATGAGAATTTAGGTTCTAAGTCATGCTCCTCTACACCATCATTCCAATCTGATGGATGATGATTGAACCAAGAGACAAGTAGTAAGAGAAAAACAGTTTCCTCAAAGATTGGCAGACTGGGCCTCCCCTCTTTAATTCCCACCGCTACCCAAATCCTAGTTGCTGCTAACCTATTGTGAATCTGAAAAGATAAATTTACCTTTAAATTTACCTAAACTCTTTATGAAGGCTATGCTACCTCTTAGGAGGTAATGCTTTACGTATGTTTATTCTCTACTGTAAGAAGTTGAACTCCCTTTTTTCTATAATTTATGATGTCCTGTTTATTATTTCACAGACTAAAAACTGAATATGGGTGCTGTATTTCCATATGGATGTCATCTATTTCCATGGCCAAGCAGACATGCCTAGATAGATATTGCTTATTCTATAGTAATATTTTTCACTGTAACCAAGTCCCTTTCAAATTCTCAAATTTGATGATTATTGTATGAAAGTTTAAAGTCATGTGATAATCCTATCTTGTGATGATCCCATCACACTTGTCATTTTCTAAAATGTGGGTTTCACAAGTAAGCCTTAGTAGAAAGAGATGCAGTTCTCTGATGCTTCATCTCTCCTGTATATGAAATTTATAAGTTGAAGTAAGTCATAATTTTATCTAAGAACGAAAGAATCCTCTTTCATAAATATACCTATAGTTGGGAACAATAAGAATGCTTGGAAATAATAACCACTTCCTAAAAGACACCATCCCTAAAAATGAGGATCTTCCCTAAATGAGGAAACTTTTTTTTTAAGATGGGGTCTTGTTCTGTTGCCCAGGCTGAAGTGCAATGGTGCAATCTCAGCTCATTGCAAACTCTGCCTCCTGCATTCAAGCGATTCTCCGTCTCAGCCTCCTGAGTAGCTGGGATTATAGGCGTGCACCACCACGCCCAGCTGATTTTTTGTATTATTAGTAGAGACAGAGTTTCACCATGTTGGCCAGGCTGGTGTCGAACTCCTGACCTCAGGTGATCCACCTGCCTTGGCCTCCCAAAGTGCTGGGATTATAGGTGTGAGCCACCGCACCCGGCCAAATGAGGAAACTTCAAATCCCTCTGCCCCACCATGAAGATGCAACACAGCCCCATGAGAGATGGAAGAGGTGTGGTTGATTGATGTACGGATGACAGTGGGTGAGTTGGGTTTTATATGCCACAACAATATGGTGCAGGATGAAGAGCATGGCCTGGGCAGTTAGATGAACCAGAAGTCTCTGTAGAGGAATTGCCACTTTCCAGGTACTGAGCCTGGGCAAGTCAGTTCACCTTATGCTCCTCAGTTTCCTCTTGTAACTGAGGAACTTACTATATGTAAGATATAGTTAAGAGGAACAGGGCTGGGTGCAGTGGCTCATGCCTGTAATCCCAGCAATTTGGGAGGCTGAGACAAAAGGATCGCTTGAGGCCAGGACTTCAAGACCAACCTGGGCAACATAGTGAGACCCCCTATCTCTACAAAAAATTGAAAAATTAACCAGCTGGGGTGGTCTTGAAGTCCTGGCCGCACTATTTGAAAGGCTGAGGCAGGAGGATTGCTTAAGCCCAGGAGGACAGCACTTCAGTGAGCTATGATTGCACCACTGTACTCCAGCCTGGGTGAGGAAGTGAGACCCTACCTCAAAAAAAAAAAGGAAAAAAAAAAACAGTAGCGCCTATCTCAATTGGTGAGCATTGAATGAGACCACACACATCAGGCCTTTTAGAACAATGCCTTGTTCATATTATATACTCAAAAATAAATATGAGTGGCTCTTATTATTGCTGCTGTCATTGTGGATGTTATAGAATTGAGTGGTTCCAATTATTTCACCTATGACAACCACACAAGAAACATAGGAAAGAAATGAAAAAAAGAAGACTTAAGACCTCTTTGCTTTGAAGTAAAAATAAAAAACAAAAAAACATTTAACAAGTGCTAGCAAGTTTGTGGAATCAAACTAACCATGGGGTAAGAATGGCATAGTAAATTAGCTCCACTCTCCAGGGTCTTAGGATCTAGTTAAGAAGACAAGATCTTCGGCCGGGCGCGGTGGCCCACACCTGTAATCCCAGCACTTTGGGAGGCTGAGGCGGGTGGATCACCTGAGGTCAGGAGTTCGACACCAGCCTGGCCAACGTGGAGCAACCCCATCTCTACTAATAATACAAAAATTGGCCAGGCGTGGTGGCACATGCCTGTAATACCAGCTCCTCGGGAGGCTTAGGCAGGAGAATCGCTTGAATCCGGGAGGCGGAAGTTGCAGTGAACCGAGCTCACACCATTGCACTCCAGCCTGGGCAACAAGAGCAAAACTCCATCTCCCAAAAAAAAAAAAAAAAAAGCCAAGATTTTCTTGCATTAAAAGTCAACAGTAAAGTATATGAGTTGGAAAAATATGTGTCATTAAGCAGGATAAGAAAAGCCATAGGACCATGGAGTAACAAGATCAATGTAACAAATTTATCAGAACTGATGTATCCAATATGTGAGAGCTCCTGAGAACTGTTCCTGCTTAAAAGAAATGCAAATAGGCTGGGCGGGCTCGGTGGCTCATGCCTGTAATCCCAGCACTTTGGAAGGCCAAGATGGGTGCATCACGAGGTCAGGAGATCGAGACCATCCTGGCCAACACCGTGAAACCCCGTCTCTACTAAAAATACAAAAACTAGCTGGTCATGGTGGCGCATGCCTGTAATCTCAGCTACTCAGGAGGCTGAGGCAGGAGAATGGCTTGAACCAGGGAGTTGGAGGTTGCAGTGAGCTGAGATCGCGCCACTACACTCCAGCGTGGCGAAAGAGCAAGATTCCATCAAAAAAAAAAAAAAAAAAAAAAAAAAAAAGGAAAAAAAGAAAAGAAAAGAAAAAGAAATGAAAATAAAATTTAAAAAGACCTTTTTTGAAATTTGCCACACATATCCACTGGGTGGAGTGTAAAATCAGTATACCCCTTTAGTGGGTCTTTTGACAGTGTTTATTAAAATGAAAAATACATAGCTTTCGACTCGGCCATTCTGCTTTTAGAAATTTGTTTACTGTCACATGTGTGCAAGGAAATACACATGAGGATGTTCACTGCAGCACTCTTTATTTTGCATGGGAAATAACTAAATTTTTCTCAAAGAGTTTCAGGAGAATAAATCACAGTAAATGTATGTGGTAGAATACTATGCAGTCATTGAAAGAATAATGTGGATACGTAAGTGCTTATATGGAAAGGCATCCAAGTAATACCATTTTTAAAAACAGGCATAGAATATGTGAAAAATTCATACAAAAATGAATTGACATGGTATAATCCAGCAATTTCACATGTTTGTATGTATCTAAAAGAACTGAATGTAGCGTCGTTAAGAGATATTTGAACACCATGTTCAAAACAGCATCATTTACAATAAATCAAAGGTGGAAGTAGCCCAAATGTCCATGGAGAGATGACTGGATAAATTAAATGTGATATATACATAAAATGGGATATTGCTCGGCCTTAAAAACGAAGGAAATTCTGACACATGCTACAACATGGGTAAACCTTTAAGGATATTATGCTAAGTGAATAAGGCAGTCACAAAAACACAAATACTGCATGCCTCCACTTAGATGCTTACAGTAGTCAAAATCAGAGACGGAAAGTAGAATGGTGGTTGGGAGGATGTATGAGGAGGGAGTTATTGTTTAATAGGTACAGAGTTTCAGTTTTGCAAGATGAAAAAGTTTTGGAGATTGTTTGCACAACACTGTGAACATACTAAACACTGCTGAACTGTACACTTAAAAATGGCCAAGATGGTAAATATTTTGCATATTTTACCACAATTTAAAATTTTTTAAAAAATTGATGCATCGTGTGTCTGCTTGTACATATACAGGAATTTCTGGAGAGTCTATTAATAGTACTTGGGTTTTTATTGTATTCCTGTTTTACTGTTTTTATCATTTGTGAGCTGTCAATTTTTAAAAACTTAAAATTGTTCAATAAATTATGATGAGCTTGTTAAACATCAGTAACAGCACTCTTTGCTTGCTGTGTGACCTGGTGCCAAAAGTGCAGAAGAAGCGCAGTAAATCCTGTGATTTCCTGGGAGGACATGAATATGTGGTGGCAAAGAGTGGCCAGCGAGAACACAAAGATGAGTACATTTTTTCTAAGCACAGAGGGCAATCCAACTGAAGAAGGCAGGGAAAGTTCTGTCCGATTTTGAGGAAAAGCCAGTCCATGGTAAGCTTGGATGTCTGTGCAGACCAATCTCACGAGGATCCTGCAGAGGGGTGCCGGGGATGGCCTTGACAGGTAGGTTGGGGCCATATTGTGGCAGGGCTTAAATGAACAATCAGGACATTTAGATTTTGTTCTGATGATAATGTGGAGCTTTGGAACATTTTGAGCAGGAGAATGTCAGAGGAAGGAAAATTAACCAGGCATGTTAGATTGAGTGGGATTTAGACTGGGGAGGAAAGGCAGGGAAGAAGTCAGGACACCGTAATCCAGAAGCAGGGTGATGAGGTTAAGATTCCACAATGGGAATGGAAAGTTTGGTTGCTTCTAGAAACTTCTAAAGAAAGAATAAACAGATAATTACGTATGAAGGGTGAGGAAGGGGAAAGAGTCGACAGTGACTGTGGTTTCAGACCAGGACAGTTATACCTAGGAGAGAATTACATCTCAGGCAAAGAAAGCAAACTGTTGAAAGAAAGCTAAATTTTGCAAGAAAGGAAATGAACTCCCTTTCACCTGTCGAGTATGAAGCAACAATGAGTCATTCAAGCACATGTCACCAATATCTAATAGAAAAACTCAGCAGATTTCAAAAAAGAGGTAAAAGCATACACACAGTGCTATACTCATCCACACCTGCAGCTCCAGAAGATTCAATGTGGAGCAATTTTAGACAAATGGATTAAAATCGATCCCCAAAACTCTACTTTCTCAGCAAAGTCACCAGGTTTCTAAAGAAGGCATCATGAAATTTAGGCATGGGTTTCTCTCTTTCATTTTTCATCTATTCTGAAATATTCTACGTCACTTCTTTTTATACATCTGAAATTGATTTACGTCACACAGTTGATGATTGATGTCTTACAATGAATGAAATATAATGTTGGGAGGATTTAAGGAATTCTCCAACAAAGGCTGATTGCTTTGGTTAAATGTACGCTTTCAGTATGGGGTGTGTGTGCACGTGTGTGTGTGTGTGTGTGTGTGTTGGCGGAGTGGGGCAGCAGGATTAATAATTTATGGCCACAGCACCGTCATCTAAGACCAAGAGAGGCGAATGAACTGGAGGGTTCCATCTGACCAAAAAAGACCAGCAGATGCTCAGGGACCTATGGACATGAACGCAATTATTTCCATGAAAAAAGATGAGCCATAACTCTTGTCTGACAAGTGTGATGGAGAGCAGACTTGCTTAGAAGGACATTCCCAGGAGGAGGTAGCATATACATTTCAGGCTAGCTTTGATCTCTAGCCTCTAGGAACAATTTTCTTGCTTTGTCATTATAGTTCCAAACATTGGTCCCTTTGGGGAAACTACTCCAGCTCAACAAGCAAATGTCATCAGGTTTGTTTTTGTTTTTATTTCTTTCCCTAGTGCAGGAAAGAAGTCCAGAATATGCCTCTATAGCATAAGGATTATTTTGAGCGAAAGGCATTTGAGAATCGACAGATGCAGTAAGAGTTGTTTTATTTTATTTTAATTTTTTCCCTGAACTTACCTGTCTAAAAGCAATGCCTCTCAAAAGAATTCAACTGTCTTAAATTCCTTCCCAGGAATTTTAAAACCAGGGAAGGTTGACCCTATCATTAGAAACAAGAAGTTGGTACTGGGATAATAAATCAGCTAATAGACTTTGTCACAAAACTATCATATCTCCTATCTATTCTCCCAAAGGCCTGTTTATCTTTTCTGAAAGTTATTTTCCAGAAGTGCCCTTTCTCCTTCTCCCTTTCCTTTATTTAGACAGTGTATAAGCCCCAAATTCTAATTGCCCCTGGAGTCATAACTTTCTGTGAACTCTGACTACTTCGGTGAATAAAAATCTATCTTTTCTCCTGCTAATCTGTGTTTTGTTGGTTTAATTTGCAATCCCCCCAAATACTGAACCTAAGAGGGTAGAGGGAAAGTTTTACTTCCCTGACAACAGGAAAACTTATTTTGTTAAAGATGAATGGCACAGAAGGGAGAAATGATGGTTGGAGTGAGGACCAAAGAAATAACAAAAATGTCCACTTGTACTGAGACAAATTTTTCCTAAATATTTATCAGTTAGTCCTTAAATATTTTGCTTAAGAGAAGTCCTCAAAATTAAAGAAACTACATCTTCAACGTACTGAGCAGAAGGAATGGAGACTGTGCAGCTGAGGAAGCGGGGCCTGAAAAATAAGTGTGGGTTGTGTCCCCACACACGAAGGACTGGTGAGAGGAACAATGCACAGTGGTGGAGTGGGAACTGAGCAGGCCATGAGGAGGACAGATATTTGTTTTGCTGCATTCAAGGCCGCCTATAGTTCCTGCCCTTTGGGTGCTCATGATGGCAGACAAGCTCTCATGAAGGTGAACCAAAGGAGGGAAATCACAGGAGACCCGTTGGCCCCGCCACGCCTGAACAGCTGCTGCAGCCTGAACTTTCCACCTCACTCCTGCTTTCCCTTCTCCCCATGCATGCTTGCTTGTTGCACTGAACTCCCGTGCATCACTCATTCCTGTTCTCTTTGTCAGGAGAAAAAGTTCTCCTGACATGCAGTGTGTCAAAACCATACTCATCTCCCCAATCCGCCTTCCACTTCCCGCCTCTATGCTCCCGCCTGGCTTCTGTTCTCAAATTTCACCGCAGCCGACACCTCTCTCCAGATTTCATGGCTCAGCAAGGGCACATGCCATTCCTCCAGCAAAGCCATCCTTCTCCCTTTTCACCGTTTCATCCTTTTGTCTTTCAAACTTCTCACCAACTGGGTGCGTTTTATCCTTCTCTTTGTTAGATACCTAGCATTTACAGCCATCTCTAGGCAGATGTGTGGTCGTTCAGTAAGAAGGGAACACATGTTTTGTGTGCTCACTCCAATGGGTGTCTGGCTTATAAAGTTGGTGTGGTCCAATTCCTGTCTGCCACCACCATTGTGCTCTGCTCTGCCCAACAGCTCAGAGAGGTTTGCTCTCTCCACTGGCCCTGAAGGCCCTGAAGGCCTCCCATGTTCCCCCAGTTCAAACTTCACCTCTCCCACGAGGCTTTCCCTCACTGCATCCTGTACCCTCACAGCCCTTAACACACCACTCAACAAATACACATTTGCATCTAACCGAATGTGACCCTGCGTCCATATTTATGTTTCTATAGATTAAAGCATTCTTGTTTCCCCTGCCAGGCTCCATTAGCCTAGTTAGCTTTTGCCCAGGTATCAGGAGATGAGGGGATGGCGAAAGGCTCAGAATCCAAAATTGACAGAGTAGGTGTCCACCACTAGGTGACGGTGGGATCAGGCATCTCCTTAGGCTGTCTGTGCTTCTGCTTTCTTTTCAATGGAGATGCCTGCTTTCTTGGAAACACATGTGATGGTGGGCTAGCAGTAGAAGCACTACTGTAATAACAATGTGATCTTTGTCATTTCACTTCTTCGGACCTCATTAGTCCTACATATAAAAAGAGGAAGTTAAACTAGCTCAAATGTACTGAGCAGAAGGAATGGAGACTGTGCAGATGAGGAAGCAGGGCCTGAAAAATACGTGTGGGAGGTTGTGTCGCCACACACCGGAACTCCTGGGATCCTGACCTCTTTTAGGGGTCAAAAGAGGGCAAACTAGTTGCCTAACAATATTTAGAGCTATTTCTCTCTTTTCACTCTCATTCTACGAGTGTACACCGGAGTTTCTAGAAATTACATGGTATGTGAAGTTATCTAATGATAACCCGTAATGAGGTTATTACTGTGATTTTTAATGAATACATTTAAAAATATGTTTTAATTTCTTAAAAAGAAACATTAATCTCTATGTATGTGTGTATACATATACAGGAAATGTATGAATATTCATTATACATGAATGTACATATATTCATTGTATATATGTATATATATTCATACGTGTGTGTGTGTATATATATTTATACATTTCCTACATAAATAAAAGCTCTTTAAGGGACTAATAATTTTTAAGTGAAAAGGAGTCCTGAGACCAAAAAGTCTGAGAATCACTGAACCAGATTTCTAGATCTTTAAGATCATTAATTCACTCAAGAAATAACTGTGCCTCTTGTGGCCAGGCATTTTGTAGATACCGAGGACAATGTGGTGATAAGAACACGTTCCCTGCTCTGATAGAGTTTTACACTTGGGAGGGAAGTGACAAACAAATAAATTAACAAGATTATTTTTGAGAGCAGTAGTTTTAATGAAGCCATAAAGCAGGACACAGACACACATTCCAGCACAATCTGTGCGCCTGCTCAGACGTAACACCCCACACCGCGGCAGGCGGATTCGGCAGCGTAGCCCCGAGAAGCCCCAAGCCCGCTCCGTCGCCCCAGGAGGGCGAGGGCGGGGCCTGCCTGCCCCCCCGCCGCTGGCGTCCGGTGACGTCACTGGGCCGCGCCAGCCAATCGTGGGTGGCCGGGGTCTAGGCACCACGGTGGCCTGCGGCCTGCGGGCGGCGCTGTGGCCCGTCCAGCGGCCCGGCAGAGCCGCCCTAGCCTCCCGCCTACCCCAAGCCAACGTCTCCGCCGTCGGCTCCGCGGCGCCGCCATGGCCGACGTGGAAGACGGAGAGGAAACCTGCGCCCTGGCGTCTCACTCCGGGAGCTCAGGCTCCAAGTCGGGAGGCGACAAGATGTTCTCCCTCAAGAAGTGGAACGCGGTGGCCATGTGGAGCTGGGACGTTGAGTGCGATACGTGCGCCATCTGCAGGGTCCAGGTGATGGGTAAGCGCTGCACGCAAGGCCGGGGCCGCGCTACGGCCTCCGGGAGCCGACTTCGGGATTGGGACGGGACGGGCGCCCGCCAGAAGCCTTGGAAAGTCCCCTGCCTTGGGGAGTGGAGGTCGCCCTGCCCGGGCGCCGGAGGAACGCGGAGCCACGATCCTGTTGCGGCTCTTGAGGGCTGAGGGGTTGTGCAACAGGCGCCCGGCGCCGGGTGGTTGGTGTTCTAGGGAGAGAAATGGGCAATAAACGGAGGTAAACAAGGTAATTTCAGGTAGTGATGGGTGTGACCAGGAAAATAAAACCGGGTGATTGTTGGGAACTAGCAGGAAACACTTCGGTTTGTGTGGCCAGCCCCTGTTCTAAAAGCTCATCGCAAGGTGGACAGAGTAAAGGCCGTGATTCAGCAGTGAACTTTAATAGTCTTGGTCACCACCAAAGTGATGCTCTGGAGTCATCTTCCACAAAACGACACCCTTAGTTCTCCTCGAGGGACGCAGGAAAGTGTTCACAGCCATTGCATTTCCGGATTAGCTTACCGCCGCTCTTCGAATGGCTTTTAAATCTGGATTGATCTAAGACGGGTCAGATAGCACTAGCGTGGCTTGAAGGGGACAGTGTGGTTCAAGAATATCTAAGTTTCATGGAAGCCGAAGAACTGTAAGCCCTTTTTTCAGAAATGTAGAACTTCACCTCCGTTACAACCCCCTCTCCATATCGGATGTCATTTCCTGGAGAAGATACTGCCCTGCTCTGAGTCATGCCTTTGTGGAGAACCCTCTTACAAATATGTCTTCTTTCTGTGATATTTTGAGTTAAAATATTAGACCAAGCGAAACGTTTCAGAACAGCTTAATCTTGTTATATTTTATATGGTTCTAAGATCTCAGACCACTTTGAAAAGCAAGTGCTATTTAAATGCAAGTTGTATTTTCAGATAGGGCATTTAAAATTACTGTGAGAGCATCTTCAATGGAGTTCTTTATTGAGGGTAGTTAAAGAAAACAGACATTTCTGTAGTTTGAAAACTGACTTGTCTTGAAAAATGAGATAATTGGAGAACATAAAGAGAATTGCTGTCCTTGAGGGGGGATGAGACTTTAAACCTACCAGAATCAAGAGATTTCTCAATTTATGCTCTTTTGTCTTTTATTCTAAGGGCTTGTTTCAAAGAGGATTTACAACAATTGGATTCAGATATTTTTACCTTCTACTTTTGAAAAACCTTGTTATTAGACATGACCCACTTATTTTATATGGATCACTTGAGCCCAGGAGTTTGAGACCTGCCTAGGCAACATCGCAAGACCCTATCTCTACAATTAAAAATTAAAATTAAAAAAGTGACCAGGCATGGTGGCCTCCAGCTACTCAGGAGGCTGAGGTGGGAGGATCCCTTGAGCCCAGGAGGTCGAGGCTACAGTGAGCCTTGTTCCTGCCACTGCCACGATACTCCAGCTTGGGTGACAGAATGAGACCCTGTCTCAAAAACAAACGAACAAAACATATTAGGCTTTAAAAGTATCTAGTTTATTTGCCAGCAATACAGCTGCCCCTACCCTCACTTAGGAATCATAATTTCCAGTTTGGGAAGCATCTTTTAACTGATCCAAGAGACTTTTTTTTTTTTTTTTTTTTTTTTTGCAATACAAGTTTTGCTAAACATTTTATCTCCTAAATAAATTTCCTTCAGTTTAAAGGAAACTAAACTTTCACTTAGTTCCTTTTCAGTTTAAAAATAATGTTCCCAAAGGGTATTTTCAGAAGATTTCTCTCCCAAAAAGCTGTTTCCTCCCCGAAGGAAAAACATTTAAGCAGTAAGTGGAAATGTATAACCTGAAATAATGATTGAAACTTTGCAACAAATAAACTTTACTGAGGTATTTTAATGTAGGTCAAAGTATAGGCTATAAATGACACATTTCATCATAAACTTTCTAATTATAGCAAGTATTCTGCTACTACAGGACCAGTCTTGCATATTTGCAAACAGCTGTACTTTGGGTTCAGGAAAGTATTCTAGGCTAGACCTTTGTATTTTGTTTATGAGGTGTTAAAACCCACTTAGAGGTCAGGTGACAGCAGAAGGAAATTTTTTTTCCCAGACTTCCTAGTCCTTACCCTAGCACCCTTCTAAAAGGTGTTATTGTACTCCTCAGAAATGTGCTGTTTTAGATTCTAGGAAGATCATTAAAGCAATTTTTTATCTTTTATCTGAAACTTTAGGAATTTGTGTAGATTTGGGTCAGTTTTGATAATTACATTAGAGCTATAAGCGTAATTTAGAGATTCCTAGATTCAGCAACAAGAACCCACTTTGTTCCCTTTCCTTAGTATTTGGAATTTATCTTACACTTGTGATTTATTATACTTTCTGCTCCCAAGATTTGCTTGTCAGCCCATTCTGATATGGATAACACTCTCATCTTGGTTTCCACTATCCTCCCTTCATTCAGAAAGGAGTGATGATTGCATAGTGAGCAAGTGCTGATGAAAAGGGTTGAATAGGTTTGCTAGTACAGCCAGTTATAATAGCCAGGGTAACCCTTCATGACTGTATCACCTTGGATATTTCACATAACTTTTGGGAGCCTTATTTTCTTAATTTGTAAAGAGGCAGTTGGGATCACCAACCTTAATATTAAAATTCTGTGATTGCACAGAACTAGAGCCAGATACAGGTAGCACGTCTTCACTGTTGTATCACAACCCTCATGATATTTAGTTGTCTGTCTACGTCCCCATTTGCTGGTGAGCCCCTTGAGATCCAGCCTTGGTCATTTTGGTGTCCCCAGTGCATAACTCCTTGCACAGAGGAGTAATTGTGGGATTGAAGAAAACCTCAGGAGGCAGTGGTTGTTTTTAATCCACACTGAAGAGACTAGGGCGGTGGTGTGTTTTTAAGGGTAAGAGCATGTGGAGAGGAGCAAACAAATGCCTGAGCAAAATCCAGTGTAAGAAGAGAAGCAGGCTTCAACTCCACCGTGTTTCTATTTTTACAGAATTATTTTTCTCCTATTTATGTTAAAAACTATTTTCTGTTGGTTTGAACTTCCTTTTACCCAACACTGACTCCTCTTCCAGCTAGTGAATGAGTCCATTTTTGGTCCCTAAAGTATTCTATATTACTTTTTTCATTAAGCTGATAGTATTCCAGATTGAATTTTGAAAACTTCTTAGTATAGCCTTTAGGATCTCATTTTTAGTGTTTACACCTACTCCACTATATTAGAAGTTACTGTAAGCTCACTGGGCATGCTCATGGACAGTTCATTTTCAAGACACCCTTTTAAATAACCCATACATATAATGTTAGTATTTGTTTATATGTACATCAAGAAATTCTAGAAGGATACCCAAGAAACCAGTAATAAAGTAATTTATTAAAGTACTTTACCATTGTTGGGTAAATGCTTTGGGCTCAGACTTACCTGTAAAGGAAGTATTTTTTTTAAAAACTTTTATTTTAGATTCAGGGGTATAAGTGCAGGTTTGTTACATAGGTAAACTTGTGTCACAGGTGTTTGTCGTACAGATTATTTCATCACCCAGGTAGTAAGCCTAGTACCCATTAGTTATTTTTCCTGATCCTCTCCACCCTCCACCCTCTGAAAGGCCCCAGTGTGTGTTGTTCCCTGCTGTATGTCCATGTGTTCTCATCATTTAGCTCCCAAGCATTTTCTTACAAAGAAAAAAACCTTGGTGCTTAGGGATATCTAGTATTTACTTATTTTATCTATAAAATTCTCACCAGTATATATCATTCCCACTTAATATATAAATACCTCACGGTATTGTGCCTTTTTTACAGATGAGGGAATTGGAGTTCGTAATTGGTCCAAGGCCATGAACCTAATAAATGCCAGTGAAATGGGATTTGACTGTAGATCTGGCTCTGCAGCCCTTGCTTTCCCCTCTGTGTCTCACTGGCTTCTCACCAGCCTTGTCTGGATGACCATCAGTAGCAACCTATTAGAAGCATACAAAGCAGTTCGTTTTAGAGGAAGTCTCAAGTGTCTTAGGGTAGAAACTAAAAAGTTGCTTTTTATGAGTTGCTGAAGGAAAACTTCTGTATCAGTAAGTATGGATGACTTTTAAAAACTTGTTTATGAAAGAATCAAATTTTTTCAATTTAATTTTTATATAAGTTATATATTCACATAGTTCAGAAATTGAGGAAGATATGTATATTACCTGGAAGAGGAGTGAAAACTCTCCTTCCCATTCCACACCCTCCTAGTAAACTTTATTATTGGTTCCTTGGGTATCCTAGTGTTTCTTGATGTATGTATAAGCTAACATATATATATGGTTTATTTAAAGGGTGTCTTGAAAATAAACTGCCCGTGAGCATGCCCAGTAAGCATATAGTAACTTTGAATATAGTGGAGTGTGGCATATTTTTCTCTAGTAATTTTCTCTATTGGCACTGTCAGGACATCTTTTCATCAGAGCTTATAAAAATATAGGATTTGTTGTTAACTGTTGTGAAATTGCTCCTGGTTATAAGTAAATTGGTAGAATGCCTTGTACTTTATTCCTCTTTAAATAGTTACATTCAGATGAGAAATTAATAGTATGAGTCTTTACTGCCATCTCTAACCCTTAGAGCTTTTGACTTTGAAGTGTCTGGTTTTTAAAAATTGCATTCTGAGCATCAGAATGAGAATTGCTGTTTGTTTACTTTTAGATGCCTGTCTTAGATGTCAAGCTGAAAACAAACAAGAGGACTGTGTTGGTATGTTGTAATTTCGCTCTCTTGCTTTTTCAACTGAAGGTTTTCTCTCAGTAGGGATGTTTGAACTTGAAATTAAGATTGACTTTATCAATACACAAAAATAAACTGTAAAGCAGTGATCCATTATTAATATAAAATATGTTGGTTCTCAGAAGAGTTTAATGGAGTGAACCTGCAAATCCTTTTATTGCCGTCGTTAAGAATTGGTTATATATTCCAGACATGGTCATAATAAACATTTTGGTAATCAAAAATTAAATATTTTCTATTTAGAAAATTATAAAATCAGAATGTCGAAACATTATTTGAATTTTGGCTATGTTATAGGTCACTTTTGGTTCTAATAAGGCATTTCACTTTTCAATACTTTTATAATATGATATTTAACTTTAAAACCAGAGTAGAAAAATTCTAAGTCTCAAGTATGTTTTTGGAATGTGGTTTGTGTATCAAATTTTCTTTAGAGTCTTAGACTATAAAAGTTGTCGCAGGCTAAATATTTTAGGCAGTTCAAAGATTTTTATGCCCTAGTTCTTGAGGTGATCAAGTCTGGATTGCTATATAAACATGTTTACAGATTTTCTTAGAATAAAAGATTGGCTTTGTAGTTTGTGTTTGCATGGTGTACATAGAACACAAATACATGATGTACATAGAACTTCTTAATATTGATTCTTGCAATTTTGATCCAGTCTTCCTCCTGAAACACTTAGAATGTTTCACCCTTTCTTCCTACCCCCGTAGCAAATTTTCATAGGAATTTTTTTTCTTTTTTTCTGCCTTATTTCTTTCATTTAATCTTTTTCTCTTGTCATATAGCTCAGTTGATCAGGCAAGGGACAGATGAATACCAAATTTGAGATTGCATTCTAGATTATGGATGATATCCCTTGTTTTAAAGTTTTTCTTCCATGCTACTTGTTTAAAAAGTATTAATTTGGGAATTGTGAGGGGCAGGCCACTTTCTTGGATCACAGAGAGACCTCTCTCTCCAGCCAGCCACTTTGAAAATTTCATCATCACATGAGGAATTGCACTGCTTGTGGATGACTTAACAATTCATTACTTCTAGGAAACAGCTCAGCTCAGTAGATGCACAACTGAATATTTAGAAGCATGTTATTTATAATAGCCTACTGCATGCTAAAAACATTTACAACTCATTCTGTCTTGGTAAATAAAAATTGGAAGGACATTTTTCCATAAAATAAAGCCCAGAAGGTCTCTAAGGTCAGTGCATAACTGAGAAAGTCAGATCTAAGGAAGGTTCAAGTCCTTTCAAAGTTCAAGAAGACAGCATGTGGAGCTGTGTAGGAACTAGGGGTCATCACATCATCCATAGATTCTAGAACGGGGATGGAAAGGCTCTCAAACAGTGACTTATGTCTCTGTGTAACTTATAAGTTTCTGTTTCTTTATAGATAGAAAAACATTATTTTGGCCAATTAACTGTCTTTTTTGAAGATTATTATTTGTAATATAAAATAAGCTGTAATTTTGAGTTCAGTATTTAAATTGAAATATGTAATGTCAACTCTTCTTTTTCTTTCTTTCAGTGGTCTGGGGAGAATGTAATCATTCCTTCCACAACTGCTGCATGTCCCTGTGGGTGAAACAGAACAATCGCTGCCCTCTCTGCCAGCAGGACTGGGTGGTCCAAAGAATCGGCAAATGAGAGTGGTTAGACGGCTTCTTAGTGCAGTTGTTCAGAGCCCTGGTGGATCTTGTAATCCAGTGCCCTACAAAGGCTAGAACACTCCAGGGGATGAATTCTTCAAATAGGAGCCGATGGATCTATGGTCCTTTGGGACTCATCAAAGCCTTGGTTTAGCATTTTGTCAGTTTTATTTTCAGAAATTCTCTGCGATTAAGAAGATAATTTATTAAAGATGGTCCTTTCTACCTCTGTGATGTGTGTCACGCACACAGCTTAGAAGTGCTACAGAAAAGGAAAGAACTCCAAATTGAATCACCTTTATAATTTACCCATTTCTCTACAACAGGCAGTGGAAGCAGTTTCAGAGAACTTTTTGCATGCTTATGGTTGATCAGTTAAAAAAGAATGTTATAGTAACAAATAAAGTGCAGTTTAAAACCCAACTCTTACTCTTAATTTGTTCCTAATATGTATTTTTGGCAGGGAAAGGGAGTGGTCCATGAAATCTTTATGTGATGTGAGGATTTTAAGTTTGGGCCAGTGAACGGGGTAAATAAAATTTAACTTTTAGGCATATGGAATTTTGATTGCCGTTAAAGTTACTATTCTCTGTCATTCAGCAAGAAAACGTAGATCTGTACTCACCTCACTGTTCAATCATTGAGTGGTAAAGGACAGAAGTATTTTCTGGTTCTGGTCAGATGATGTAATTTTTTTTTTTTTTTTTTTTTTGAGTGGAGTCTTGCTCTGCCACCCAGGCTATGTAGTGGCATGATGTCAGCTCACTGCAACCTCCGCCTCCCAGGTTCAAGGGATTCTCCTGCCTCAGCCTCCCGAATAGCTGGGATTATAGGCATGTGCCACTACACCTGGCTAATTTTTGTGTTTTAGTAGGGTGGGTTTCCCCATGTTGACCAGGCTGGTCTCGAACTCCTGAGCTCAGGTGATCCGCCCACCTTGCCTCCCAAAGTGCGGGGATTACAGGTGTGGGTCACTACGCTCGGCCCAGATGATATAATTTAACTGTGTTTTAGGTAACATGTTAATAAGGGAAAATGTTTACCAGTGTAGCATTGGGTCAAAAAGTTTATTTTATCACACAATGTTTTAATAAATGGTTTATTCTTACCTTATTTGAATTGTCATTATATTAATTTTATGTACATGTAAACTTAATAAACTAATTTATCAAATGTAATACTTTCATTTAATTTGAAAATTCATATTCATTTGCTCTTTTCATTTGGCAATAATATTTAAGGTTGTTACACGAAACAGTGCAGAAAATGCTAAACTTTATCAAACTGTTTCACACTGAGGGGAGGTTATTTTGTAACAAATGACGGACCACAAGTTCATTTTGGATTCTTCTGTGGTGGAGTCTACTGATATGAATTTAAGAAAAAACCTTAGAATCTTAATTTTTCACATCTACAGATTCAGTTTGCCATTCTGAATTTTTAAATCTAAGGGATGTGGATACATAGAATGTTTAAAAACATAGCAATTAGAATAAAAATTAAAATGCTTTTGTATGAGTTACTTTTTATGAATCACATTTTCTGGAAATTTTTTGCTTTATATTTTTCACAGTTGTCTCTCCTGAAAAGAATTATGCAAATATCTTTGGCCATTTGAATTTATCATTGTGCAGTAAACTGTTTTAGTAACTTTCTGTTTGACCTTTTTAGAAGGTTGCATCCTTAAAATGTGAACCAGATACATGACTTTGCATTGAAGAGGAAAAGCATTGGGTGTCAGGTTACTTTAAGAGCAGTGTGACAGAATGTAAATGAAATGTGGAGGATAGGCGCTAACAATTTGATTTTCCACACAGCAAACCACAGTCCGCCACCTAACAAAAGCCCTGTTTAATGCCACACACCAGCATCTGAGGGAAGGAGGCGCTGTGACAAGCAGCGCTGATGCTGCAGCCTGCCATGATCATAGCTTCCGTCTGCACAGCTGTCGAAGAAGTTTAATACATATTACTCATCAAGAAGGAATGCTGCAAGGACAATTTTGCGAGTTCCAACACAAAAGTTAAGCATCGAACAGGTTTTTCTTTCCATTTGATTAAATGATGCTGATTTTATTTTACTCTTGCATTAGAAACAATAGATTATCTGTTGCTATTTATTTTCCGTCCTATGCAAATTGTGTTATTACAGCTGACACGCTATCAGTAAATCTTTGTCTGATCCCATTGCTTCCTTTTTATAAAAATACTGTATCCCCCTTTACTGTCATGCAGTGAAATTCATAAATATATTTCCTACCATATAATTTAAATGTATATAATTGTTATATGACAGAACTAAAGAACTTGTAATTCAGTTGTATTTTCGGTATAGAAATGCTTGGACATGGCGGACACGATGGCTCACGCGCTGTAATCAGGCACTTTGGGAGGCAGAGTGAGGCCGGATCAACGAGGTCAGGCGTTCGAGACCAGCCTGGCCAGCATGGTGACCGTCTCTAATAAAAGAAAATTGGCGGGCGTGGTGGCAAGTGCCTGTAATCCCAGCTACTCGGGAGGCTGAAGCAGTAGAATCTCTTGAACCCGAGAGGCAGAGAGATTGCAGTGAGCCAAGATCGCACCACTGCAGTCAGCCTGGGCAGCGAAGCGAAACTCTGTCTCAAAAAAAAAAATATGAAAGTAACTGTAAGAAAAGCACTTTGCTGCTTTTGAAGTTACTCTCTAATAAGAACCAGGCATGGTGGTGCACACCTGTGATCTCAGCTACTTGGAACAGCTGGGAGGAATTCCTTGAGCCTGGAAGTTTGAGACTGCAGTATACCATGATCATGTAAATAGCCACCACACTTAACCTGGGCAACATGGCAAGACCCTGTCCAAATAAATAAATAATAAATATTGAGATTATTGCCCACAGGTAGTTTGGAGTAACGAATGTTTTGTGCTCTGCAATGAAAAGGAGAAAATTTAAGTGTTTAGTAAGCCCTTGTTTGTATTTATTTTTGAGATGAGTTACACTCTTGTTGCCCAGGCTGAAATGCAATGGCGCAATCTCGGCTCACCCGGCGCCACCTCCTGGGTTCAAGTGATTCTTCTGCCTCAGCCTCCCCAGTAGCTGTGATTTATGAGCATGCCACCATGCCCAGCTAATTTTTTTGTATTTAGTAGAGATAGGGTTTCACTTATTGGTCAAGGTGGTCTGGAACTCTGACCTCAGGTAATCCACCTACCTCAGCCTCCCAAAGTGCTAGAATTACAGGCATGAGCCATCACGCTGGGCCCAGCCCTTGTTTTTTAAAAAAAATATTTAAAGAATAAAATATTACTGATTTGGCTATAAGGAAAATTAAAGTACAAATATATTTTAAATTTTAATCTATTTTGTGATGAATATGTTGAATAGTATAACAAAATACTGAAAAATGTTGCTATGTAAAGTTCTGTTCCATCTTTAAGTCATTCCATTTCTGCTGCACCATTAGGTTTGTTCAGCCAAAATGTGTCTTACGAGAAAGTATTGCATTTTATAACTCTCACTTAGTGGCAGTGACTAGGATAGCTGGTTGAATCCTAGCTCTGCATTTATTAGTATGATTTTAAGCAAGTTACTTCACCTCTCCATACTTCAATTTCTTCATCTGCAAAGTAGGTAATAATAATAATAACATTATAATAATGCTTGGCCGGGCATGGTGACTCATGCCTATAATCCCAGCACTTTGGGAGGCCAAGGCAGGAGGATTGCTTGAGCCCAGGAGTTTGAGACCAGCCTGAGCAACATAGTGAGACTTCATCTCTACAGAAAATAAAAACAAAATTAGTGGACGTGGTGGTGTGCACCTGTAATTCAGCCTCAGAGAGGCGGGGGAGGATCAGCTTAATCCCAGGAGGTCAAGGCTGCGGTGAGCCAGCCCAGTCATGCCACTGTAATTCCCATCTAGGCAACAGAGCAAAACCCTGTTTCAAATAATAATAATAATACTTACCTCTTTAGTTTTTTTTTTGAGGATTGAGGACTAACTATATAAATTTAGCATGGTATCTAGCACATTGTTAAGAGCAACTGTTAGTTACTGTTTCATTTTAGTCATTGTTAGAAGCACTTTTAGTAGAAGTATTACTTTAAAAATATGTTTTCAGTTATGAAATAAAACACTCTAACTTATTCTCAATAAAAATTTTATAAGAAAAAGTTAATTGTTGTGAACATGATTAGATTACTTGTAGCACTGTGAGTTTTTGTGAATAATGGTAGTAAGGCCTCAATAACTTGCCTGTTATGTTTTTCTAATCAATAACATGATTTCAGATTTTATTTTTACATTTTTATGTCATATTTCTTATAACCCAAGTCTCTGTCTCAAGGTTGGGAGTGCATTGGCATGACCACAGCTCACTGCAACCTCAGCGCCCAGGCGCTCAAGCAATCCTCCCACCTCAGCCTCCCAAGTAGCTGGGACCACAGTTGCACACTACTACACTCTAAGCTAATTTTTATTTTTTTTGTACAGATGGGGTTTCCTGTGGTGCCCAGGCTGGAGTTGAACTCCTGAGTTCTCAAGCGATTTTCCGCCTCGACACTACAAAGTGCTGAGATTACAGGCATGAGCCACCATGCAGCTAAGATTTTATATTAAGAAAAGGTTTTGGTGAAGTCTCATTTAATTTTGAGTTTTCCCATCTTGTTGAGAAATATCTTGCAGTGAGCTGAGATCGTGCCACTGTACGCTAGCCTGGGTGACAGAGTGAGACTCCATCTCAAAAAAAAAAAAGAAATATGAATATAAAAATAAATTTTTGCATAGTTGATTTTGGGAATCTTCCTTTCTTGAGAAAATTAACCTTTTATTAGGTTGGTGCAAAAGTAATTGTGGTTTTTTTGCCATTAAAAGTAATGGTATAAACCATTACTTCTAATGCTCTAACCCTCAATTTCATTTTCATAGCCTTTCCAAGTGGAGTAAGCTTTGCAATCAACCTGCTGCTTTCTCTTATCTGTACGCTTGATAAATCTGAGTCAGTGGTTGGAATGGAATCTGCTCTGTGTTGCTTGCAAGCAAGCACTCTCCTGAGTGAGTGACTGCAATATGCTTGCTTAAATTAAGACTACAGTTTCAAATCAGCCCGGCCAAAATGTTAGCTCTATCATTTACTAGCTGTGTAGTCTTTTTCAAAATCTTAACCTATAATGCCTGTTTCCTCCTTTAAAATGGGATAACATTGTTATCCTCATGGAGTTATTTACGAATTAAATAATTGCATTTTAGCTGCAAGAACAGTGGAAGAACTTGATGAGTAAGCACTCAACAAATGTCAGCCATTATTATATAGATCACTACTGATGCTGGTAACCTCTTTGCCTTAATTATGGGGTACCTTTGAAAGGAATATTGTTTGCAGAGATACTTCTTGTAAGAATTATGATGTCTGTGTGCAGCTACAACCTGTAAAACAATTGCCAAC